CGATTCAAAAAGTTTTCTCACAAAAATTGGTATACCCATTTTATGCGTCCATGTTTTAAATACCCCCTTGAACAACTTGCATCAATAAAACCAGACTTTACAATTATTTCGGGGAAATTCGCTGATATTAGACTATTATGCTTTACAGCTTTTACAGAAAACTGCATGTTGGTACCACTTTTTGTGGGTTGTAAGGTGATGCGTATCTGACCTCTGGTTCAAGAAAACAAAGAAATGAAAAATACCTAACAGCAAGGGTTCTCCTTCAACGCTTCAACTCGACTTTATCGATGGAGATATTGCAAATTTCAACGGATGGCACTATCTGCAACAATGTTCTCACTCGTACCATATCTGACATATAGCTAAAGACACTATACAGGGTGTTTCAGTTTATTGTTGCATAACTTTAAGATTCGATAGAACTTTTAAAATTAATGCATAAAGACTATATAAACATGGGTCGAAAAATGCGTGGCTTCCGAAATACAGAGTGTTTATTTTAATTTACTTTTTAAAATAGTTGTTTTTTAAATATTTCGAACAATATTTGATGTATAACAGTCAAAATTGGTATACAAGGGTTTTTTGGTACGGCAAAACGAACCATGGGCATAGTTTTACTGTAGCCGCTAGAGGGCGCTCTCTACTATACCGGTAGTGTATTAAAATGACCGAAAAAAATGCAATTTTTTGCTTTTTGAATAAAAAAACTGATTCTTCGCACTTTTCTGCATAAAAAAGCTCTCCTGTGAGTTTTCGTTATAGTTAGCCGTTTTTGAGATATTTCGATTTTAAGGTTCGATGCATTTTTAATTATTTATGGGAAAATAATATTTTTTTTTTAAATTTCGATTTGAGCATTACAAGTAATTAAGATGGTCGTTTAGATTGTGTTTATAAACACAGCAATAATTCCTAACTCCAAATAAACACAAAAAACAGAATATTAATTTGTTTAATTTTCCAATATTATTTTTAAAAAGTTAAATTAATTATTTACAACTAAAATGCTATTGGATAGTTAGGACAAACATACAAAATCTAAAGTAGTTGCTCGAAATGTAAACCCAATTGTTCAATACACAATTGACATCTACGAATGATCGAACGTGGTATACCATTATTCAAATAAGGCCTTATTTCATCACATGCATTCCTGATTCTGTCTATTAGCATATCTCTTATGGTTACGGGAGTCTGGTACACTTTTTCTTTTATAAATCCCCACACAAACAAATCTAATGGATTTAGGTCAGGGGATCGTGGAGGCCAGGCGACTGGTCCACCACGGCCGATCCATCTTTCTGGATAATTTTCGTCCAGCCAATTTCTAACTATTCTCGAATAATGAGCTGGACAACCATCAAGCTGGAACTAGGCCAATCTTCTTAAATCTAACATAACATCATCCCACATATTTGAAAATTTCTTTCCCGAACTGCATGCGGATTTTCATGCGACCAAATATGTTGATTATGAAAATTTACCACTCCACGTCTAGTGAAGCATGACTCATCGGACCATAAAACGTTACTTAAAAACACCCTATTATTATCAGTTCTATCAAGAATCCACTGACAAAATGTGATTCTTCGTTTTCCGTCCCCTGGCTGTAGTCCTTGCACAGGTTGCAAATGGTAAGGACGTCTATGGTCATTTCTAAGAACACGGTGAACATGGCTTGCTGAAATTCCCAAGGCACCAGAAACTCTCCTAACACTTGGGGTCGGATCTCTATCAAACTCACGCAGAATCATACGGGTAAATCTGCGCTGACGAACATTTATGTTTTGATCCCTTTGGAGATTTCCAAAACCATTTTCAATTATTTGGCGATGCACTCTTACAAATACTGAGCGAGTTGGATGTCGTCTGTTTGGAAATCTTCGTGCGTATTCTCTGGCTGCTTCTGCTGAGTTTCCATTTACAAAGCCATACACAAAATGAATATCCGCGAACTCTTGATTGGAGAATAAAAATGGCATTTTTATAAAACTTACAAAAAAACAGGTGAAAGAAACTAAATTTAGTGCATTCACAATGACAAAACACGTTTCAGGTTTCAACAGACAACAAAACTAACTGTCAACTAATTGACGTTTACCTTAGTCTGCTTTCAATTTCAAAAATATTTGCAGGCACAGCCTACTTCTAAAAATTATAGAGATACTGACTTTTTAACGTTATTTTATCATGAATAATTAAAAATGCATCGAACCTTGAAAATCGAATATCTCAAAAACGGCTAACTATAACGAAAATTGACGAGAGAGCTTTTTTATGTTGAAAAGTGCGAAGAATCAGTTTTTTATTCAAAAAGCAAAAAATTGCACTAAGAAATTTTTTTCGGTCATTTCAATACACTACAGGTACAGTAGAGAGCGCCCTCTAGCGGCTACAGTAAAACTATGCCCATGGTTCGTTTTTTCGTACCAAAAAACCCTTGCATACCAATTTTCACTGTTATACATCAAATATTGTTCGAAATATTTAAAAAAAACTATTTTAGAAAGTAAATTTAAACACCCTGTATTTCGGAAGCCACGCATTTTTCGACCCATGTTTATATAGACTTTATGCATTAATTTTAAAAGTTATATCGAATCTTAAAGTTATGCAACAATAAACTGAAACACCCTGTATAAGCGAAATCAAACAACACAAATAAAATAATTATTAACTACACTAAACGGTTGATAGCTTGTTGCTGCGCTGAAGGTTTTCATACTTTTAATCAGGGAGTTATATAAACTATAATAATATTATAATTTGCTAACAATACCAAAATAAAACTGCACTCTCCGCTAAACAATTGATTTATGGAATCAGAATTTGGGCATACTCCAGATTCGATTTAACAACCATCTGGGTCTCCCCTTTACTACACGCATGGATCGTTCATCGTATACAATTTCTGTTGTTGTATTAAATGTTCCAGTATTCGGTTTTAGACAGACGTAATGAATAATTATTCGTTAAGTTTCCCGACGATGGCATAAGAAACATAACATATTACATAACAGTGCTATTGATAATTTCTGTAAAAACTTCGCATACAGAACTGTAGCAGGAATGTGGTGAAAATAGCTGTATTCATATTATTTTTACCTGGATTTTCGACCATTTTATTATTAGATCGGAGTAGCCTGCCTACTTGGCTACGCTGCATTATACATTTGCGCAAAAAGTGTTTTGGCAATCATTCTAGCTGCTACAAAACCTGCTGATTTCGTATATTTAAGTATAAGGTTACTTATATACGTATTTTTGTTACTAGTATACGAACTGCGTACAGGGAGTGAAATAAGTAAAATTATGAAAAAGTTTTGTACAATCTACCAGATAAAATGTTTCGAAATGTAATAGACTAGCGAAGATGGATAAGAAGGAAGAGGACTTGATGAATAATTCCTTTTTTATTTTATGTTTATAGTTTAGAGAATTTCCAAATCAGCGACTGTTTACTGATGGGATATAGACCTGTGATCCTATGCAAAGGGTCCGAAAAGCGGAATTGCTCTCATTTGCACTGCATCAAGTATGAATAACGTAGATGTATGTATTTCATAGCTACATATACACTTCTAACGAATGAGAAAGAAATACAGGTATCCTGAAAACATAAATGTGTCGGTATTCTTTTCCAAAATTACACAGGCCCACAAAATAAGAAAAAAAAGTGGCGGGTGCTTGGGGTCTCACTATGTTTTTTCATTTAGTTTCTCACGATGAACAGAACATAATTCATGCGTTAAAATCACACATTTTGACATTTTTGGTGGATGTGCATCTCTTGGAGGCCTCTGACAGGTGTGCACAACTACCAAAAAAACAAACTTTTCTCTGATGGCCGCCTCCTCACAATTTTAACTTCAAACTCGTGTTCAGCGGGAAAAATACATGGAAAAATATAGTGAGATACACCACTTTTATTTTTTTGTGAACCTATGGATCATTTTTATGCGTTTTCTCTAGACTTTGTCTACCGACCCCCAATCCGGTTGGACCTTAATATTTGTATAGTAAGCACCCCCCCCTTGGAAAATTTACTCCCCTACGTTCTTCCTCATATAAAATAGCAACATTATTTTATTAATAAATGTATACCTGTCTGTAACTTCAAAAAATATTTGATTGTTATCCAGAAAGAATGAATGTGGAGCTGATGGAATCACAATTTATTGAATTATCTGCAAATTAATATCTGAAGTCAATTTGTTGGTGCAACTCTATGCTGTGTTGCCACGTAGAAAGATTTTGAATGTCTCTTTGGTAAAATAGAAATCTGTGACAAGATTTCTCGTCATCAAATGATCGACGCTTAATCAGGGTCTTTATTTATAAATCAGATTATTTTACTAACTTTTCAGGTAAGTTTTTGTGTTCTGGATGCCATTTCGTGCGAACTATCAAGCTTATGGAACTTTTTTACTATGGCATTACAGCTTGTGAGCGTCAACCATAACCTCACCTATGGAGAAATGACTCAACCAGCGTGCTTTGTTGGTTGCAGAATGCCGAGATAGTCTGTAAAGTATGTATCACTGAGAAGGTGTGAAAAAAAAGTAAATTGGTTGAGTATTAAGATCGCATCTGGATAATTTTGTGGTGATTGGGTGTATTGGTCTGAATGAAATCAGTAATATCTGCTATGTGAATTATTGCTAAATATGCTGCCCATGAAGTATATCTATTAGCTGTGCCAGACGGATTATTAATTATGTGTTGTCCTTTCTGAAGAGACATATCTGAGGCTTTATTTTAGAAAATAAATATATTTATTGACCTTCTCAAAGCCACATCACAGAAAAAATAGAAATGACGCATCATTCACAAATCATTTTCGCAGTGCCTCATATCTAAGCGCTGATTTGTATTTTCTACTTGACATCGCAAAATAAATTTTAATAAAATTTAAATGAGTGGAAATGAAAAATAATGTAAGTGCTCCCGTTTCATAAATATACCTGTCTGTATCCAGTAGTAAAAGTCAGTAATATGAGTCCGTGGACACTGCTAAGCTACTTACACAACTTTTGTCTGCATATGCCAGTTGCTTTACAGCAAGCTCGCCAAGAACCAGCTAATTATCATGTAATTCTATAATTCCAAAGAATCGCGTTACCCTGTATCCATCACCCATTTTTATGTTGCAATGTGCCGGCTGTCGGTGTGCGGCGGATGTGTGGGAACAAGCGTCAAGCGAACAAGCGTGAAGCGTGTCCCGGTGGCCCAACGCGGGATCAGCGGCGGCAAGTAGTCAGTTCATCCCAGCGACCGTGACAAAAAGCGGCAGCGACACAGCATTCCTGCAGGTAGGCACACGATTTTTCTGCTTTTTTGGAAATCACTCTCCTTGCTGCCACCGCACACATCTGCTACCTGCCCGCCCCTCTCCGGTATTTTTAGATCGGAAAAATACCGACGGACGCTATCCGCCATTTTTCGAAGTGTTTGTTGGTGTATTTCGGGATTAGGCTTGCGGCTTTCCGCCGCTGTTGCTTTTTTGCTCTTCGGCTAACTCGTGATGTAAGTGGAACTGCAAAAATACGAACACATGTGTCTTTATCTCATGCAATATCTGCATTGAAGCAGCCATGTGAACGATATAATTTTCTTACACTTTGAATTAATTGGGGACCCTCTAGTTTCATCTTTTTTTATATTTGGATTCTTAAGACCGCAAACGTAGGATTCAAGGGAAGAATATTATATGAATCAAGCGGCTAGTTATTCTGAGCATTTTTGTTGGAAATCGTTGAAAGCTGTTAACAAAAGCTATAAGTGAAAAGGATTAGGCTTCTTTGGAGGTTTTTGAATCTAAGTAGCGTATTAGCAAATTTGAAAAGGTCAGCGTTCTATAATAATGATATGATAATTGACTTTTGATTACTATAACAGTTCTCGTTTCCTGACGCATGACTAGAAATTAAATATGATAAATTTATATATAAGTCTTTCTACGCGCCCATGTCTTCATAATGATTTTACCCTCTTAAAAGGATTATAACTTGAGGAGGAAACATAAACATATGATAAATCTCGTAATCCTTCATGCATGTTAAGTTTTTTCACTGCAGCTACAAAATAACTGCTACTCCAAAAGTATAATAAAATTATTGAGCTTTGGAAAACTCTTTGTCTCTTTTTGTCCTTTACTCCGCCGCTCATCCATCGCTTTTGTTTTTTTTTACATATGCCAAGATAACCCAATTCTTGAAACACTGTTTCAAATACAGGACCTTCCTAAAACCTAAAAACCAGTAGCATAAGTACCTATCTATGACAAAACAGTTGGCATCGAGCTTGATAGTTCTCCGTATATAAGTAGCATGAAGAGCCGGCGTACGAATGAGTTTTGTTATTTAATGGTAATATATCAATCAAATGACTTCATAGGGGCCATAAGTATGAACGCATTTAAGAAAATATTTAGGTATGCCTTTACTTACTTATCTACGATTATATCTTAGGCTCAGGCTAACTAAAGGAAAAACCTACTTAATGTCAAAAAATCGGTTTAATGTCAACTTGTGCACTAGGTAGCTGCTAGTGTGCCCACCACAAGTGAGCCTGAAGTAAATTTCAGCTAGTTTAAACATGACATTTTATAGAAAAACCTACATATTGTTAAAAAACCTATATAATGTCATAAAAAATCGATATAATGTAACTTTTTAAGATACATAATTCGGGTGCGGGTCTAGCTATGTCACTGACAAAACCAATGTTTGGAGATACATAAGAAAACAGCATTTGTAGTCGCTGAGAAATAGACAGAAACTCGGCTTCGAGCGCAAAGTTTGGAATCTTTCAATGGTCACGTTTGACGTCTGCATAGGGAACTCAAAACATACGAATTCAAAGTTGGAGCTCACCGAAAAGTCAAAAATAATGTTCTGCTATTCTTTTTTTTGGTTAGAAAATGATGCTCAATACCGGATCCCCATTTTGTTCTCGAGTTAAAAAATATACAAAATTCCTGAAAGATTGTTTTAAAAGTGTTCAACATTTACTTTGTAATGTTAAGCATCATTTACTTTATTCTTGTCCAGTGGCTTAACATGAAGATTAGTAAACGAGGCAACTACAGGATAAGTTAAGTCTGTTATAATTAGTCAATAGTATTTGTTTTTTTTTCTGTTAACAAATGACGCATAGTATCGCCGTCTATTGCGTTGCAAAAAAAGTCAAAGTAAATCTGCTACGTTACAAAACAAGAGTCAAATAAATTAAAAATAATAATATTGCGCCACGTGTCCCAGTTGTGCGACAGTATTAACATCTCTGTTTATTTTTAACAGCAAAATGGGTTTGTATAATGGCATTTCACTTGGGACGTCCATTCATTTCTAAATCCAGGTTATAAACAACTCATCTGTGTGTCAAAAAACTGGAATAACAAAATTTTCTATTTACGTCAATGCGCACTGACTCAGCTTTTCGATCGTAAAGTTTGAAGTAATTTTCAGACAACCAATAAAAATGGAATTCTAGGTGTCTTGATCTGATAGGTTTTCTTTTAAAAGCATATTTATTTTGTGGCTTCTATTCGTTTCTATTGATTTTATCATAATTTTATTTAACTTTCACGAATTAATTTTCTCGGACATCTGGATACAGCTTTATTTTTGCGTTTCGTCGTTTGCGAAACCACAACGGATTGGAAAATGTTTCGTCTGGCACGATAGAATGTTGGCGTATGTAAAAATAAATATTGTATTAGTGTTACCTTGACTTTTTTAGTATTCGGTTTTTAAATACTTATTTTTTTAGATTTATATTTCTTTTAATACTATCGTGTAGTTAATCTTGTTACACTAACGTGAAGAATGACGCAATAGGTGAAATACGATCCAAGTTCAAAATTAGTTCAATTTTAGGTCTATTTTCTTTTTTTTTTAGAAAATGGTATTGTGCAGCCAATGCTGTTTGAATCAAGATATTGTATAATAACCCTAGATTCAAGACATCCTATGGAATAACCTTATCAACCAATCATTTTGGAAATAACTAGTTTTGTGACATGATGATGGTTTTTTGCCATCGGTTTACTTTTTTCTTAAATTTTGTTTAGTTCAACAAATGATTCAACATCCTCTAGCTTATTGATTGAAAATGGCAAATCATCGCATGGTTGAAGATCTACATCAATAATGACACAAGTTTATATGTACACTGTCCGATCCAATACTTTTTTTTTGACACTAGGACAAAGATCCCATTAGCCAGATCCAATCTTGTATTCCCGAGATTTGAACTCGCGGCCCGGTCGATTCAATAATCTTAATGACTCAGTAATTATTGTAAGCACTGTGAGCAATTTACTGTGAATAATGATATCACAAATAACTAGAGGAAGTATCTTGGCACGCGCTTCTAAGATGAACTTTATATTCCTATAATAACTTCCATTCTAGCATAGCGTATGCAATTTCTCTAGTTTGTTTGTTATTTGTGCCACCACGATGGCGATATATTTTTTGTTTATCTGTCTTCCAGGTGACATTTCTTTTGTTTCTTCTTTTCTCGGCTACTATACAGTTTGTTGTGACAATAGCCTGGAGGGTCCTACACATTGCCGAGCTCACATGAAGCCCAGGATTGTCTGAGATAGGCAATCCCGCTGCAGCTGTTTAGTATTGTACCAGACACGTTACCCTCGCTCATCGTCCCGAAGACGCCAAACGTTCCCCACAAACCTGAAAGCCCACCCAGAATTGTTGTCGCAACATACCACATACCGGTTGACTGTTATGCAATCTTCAGAACCATGAAGAATGCATAGCAGTCAATCGGTATTTTGCGACAACAGTTCTGGTTGGGTGTTCGAATTATTCGAGGACGAAGATGAGCAGGGTGACGTTCTGGTGGTACCCCAACCGATCTTGGGCTGTAGTGGTTTTACGCGACGCTGTCTTAAAACAGGACCTTAATAGAAAAAACAAATGAACTGTAACCTGCAAGGCACATAAACATAAAATGTATTGTCATTTGTACTTTGAAAAAGGCCACCATGGAGGCGGAAAAAGTAAATCAAACATAAGTGGTACCATTTAGTGGCCAGATAATCATGGAGTCATGCCTGCATGAAAATCATAGGATAAGTTTCAGGTATTACATTAATTTGTTTCTTGATCTGTATAATTGATTTTATTTCCTATGCGCCCCATCATTAACAGGTTTGTACTACAGTAGTTAGTAATTGTGGGAATGTTTAACGGAAATGTTCACTTTGTTTCATCGTGTTTTTTCTGCTAGCACCTCCATAATGGAGAAATGGCTTTCAAAATCGCGTTACCATAATGTCTCCTTTCTTACTCATTCTACGATGAAAAAGGCAATATCGAAAATAAACTAAAAACGATTTTCCATAGTATATACGTTATAATTTTCTTTTTTTTTGTACCATAAACAGTTTTCTGCAAAATTGATGTTTTCCGAGAATCATTCGAGAATGGTATCCGATTAGTTTCATGCTCGTTGACCGCTATTTGCCATGGAACTGGAACGGATATCTTTGAGAATTGAGTATTTTGAATATTTCTATGAAATTAAGATAACTCTACCAGATATTCGTGTTTCGGCTAACGAAACATTCCATAGTACCACCACGTAAATATAAGTATACATCCGTAGTTCAATCATGTTATATTTTTTTGGAATATAAAGAAGTACCTTTGGAGAGATAATTGCTCAATAAAGATATACGTTTCGTACTATTTATTCATTTTTTTGCTTTTTCCTGAAGCCTAAAGGTCCGATTTGATATATACGACCCAATAACCACGACGTACTTTCTTGGAAGTATAACATTCATTTTACCAACAAATCGCTCATGCCAAACTTTCTCCAATACCTGGGCGACATCCAGGAATAGTGCCCGAATAACATTGAAGCAACTGACAAATACCTAATAAGTTCTGTTAGTAAAGTTACTGACTGCTACCAATGATTTAATGAAGTGGGCCCAGAGGTGGCAATACAAACTAAGTGAATTGGAATCGATCTACGTTTGCTTTATGAAGAGAAAATTGACAAGAACTCCGCAAGTAAGCGTTACTGGCATCATCATATCTTTGGAGTCAGTCGCTAAATACTGATGTATGACATTTGACATTAGGCTCAAGTGGAAGTACCATATGAAAAAGAGGGAAGCAGTATCGCTCCATATAAAAATTATAATCTATAATCAGATCTTAAGACCTGTGTGGCTATCGTGATTTGAATATCCTCTGGTTATCGGCGAGATCAAATAAGTAGCGGCCAAGCACGAAGAAAGATTGCCACAATGGTGCTCGACCAAGCCGTATGAACGAATGTAGTGTTTTGTGTATAAAGCAAAGCATGTGCATGAGTTCTTAGTGATAGTATTAATTATTATACGTTAAGATTACCTAAAGAACATCAATGGAATGGCTCTAATGTTCGGTATTGTTTTTTAAGAGGACAGAGGAAAATGAGTGGTTAATCAAATTGATTAGTTTTAATATTCGGGCATCAGAGCAACTCTCACAACAAAAAGTTTT